CATCTCTCCCATTTTCTCGCCGAGGGTACTCATTTTCCCACCATTTTCCGGGAAATTGATAAATGGTATGGCTGACAGCGAAGATTCAATACCAAAAAACGGAAGGGAGGGGAAGCAGTAAGAGAAATACACGTCTATGAGCCACGTGCAGCTCAAATATGAAGAATGAATCTGCCATTACACAAAAGACAAAAGGGCCCATATTTCCAAGAGCAGATGAGACAGACAAACATTGAATTGGAATATCCAAGTTTCATTTAGTAGCACGTAATTCGAAAGAGAATACAACGAACTTTCCAAGAAATTCAAATCAACTGATCTTGTTTAAGAGTTTGGATCAATTCAGATTCACCCCAAAAGATTGGTAATGCAAAACTGTGGCTGAAGATTGACTACAACGTGGGCATCTGTTCTTGATGACATTTCTGATTGGAAACAGAACAGAAGAATAGGATCTTGGGAGATTGATCGGGCTAATGGGGTTGTCTAGTCTTAGAATTTTACACCATCTAACAAGATCCCAAGAATCCAGTCTTCACTCTGGTGGTCCAGACTATGTTTGTTTAAGAAAAGGAACTAAGAACAATTGTCTAAAAGAACCTGAAATAAACAATCCAAATGAATTGGATTTTGGAATTTATTCTAGAACCCAAACCTTCTCCAATTATGGTGGGTCTGCAGTTCAATATAAACAATTGTTCTTATGCAGAGAGTTCAATATAAACAGTTCAAATGCACACTGTGACCAACTAGGAGGCATATTCTTCAGGATCCAGTAATTAGCTCATAGACAGCGAGAAGATTCCAATGGAAAACAGGAGGAATATGATACAATTGACTAAAAATTGGCTAATTGAAACGTAGGCCAAGTGAGAAAATGAAACCAGATCGAGAAGATGCCAATGGAGAAACTGGTGGAACATGATCTAATTGACACTGAATTGACTAATTAGAAACTGTAAACGGAAGACCACTTCAGAAGATAAGCATTTGGGGTTTCAGATGCCATAAATGATATAAAACGGAGAAAACTTGAATCTCATAGATTGAAATTGTTCAGACCATACATATGCAATCAAGAGAATCAGAGACGGGGCAGAACATAAATACACCAATTCTATTATCCATCGGAAAGGGATTATTTCAACATAAAAAGAAAGGGAACGATATAGCTAATCCCCGTCTCCAAAATTGCAAATAAGTTGAAAGTTCAGAGCAATGCAAAACTAAATTTCCCTAAATTATTAAACACAGATTTATTTACCTAAGAAGCCGCCACCAATTTCCCAGCCTTCCCGCAGTCAAATCCACAGCCACACTGCGGCGACTCATAGAAACCATCAATCGGAAAGTTGGCGGAGGCGATTCCCACAGAGAACTGGAGATCATAGCCATCGTTAACGACCTCCACGATGTTGAGCCACAGCAACAGCACCTTAACCGTAACACCTTTCAAGTTCCTGATTCTGCCTTGGGAAATCACGCCCTTAATGGTAGGCTTGTACTCCAATGCGTAGGATTCGATCGAGAATCGGCACTTCTGATTCAAGTAGAGACTGAATTCTCCGGTAACCCTGTCCAATTCGTAGCCAGTTACTCCGACGGGAAGAATTCCGACGGGGAAGCCGTACTGCTGAAGAATATCGTAGGCGGTGAGAGCTTTCTGAGCAGAGACGAGAGGGTTTGAGAAGGAAACGAAAGCGAAAAGAAGAAGAAGAAAAAGAGAAGCCATAGATTTGGAGTAGGGTTCAAGGAAACTCATCTTCTTCGATTCTTTTGTTCAATTCTGAGCTGGTTGTTGATTTTGACTGGGAATGAAAGAAGATTTTTATGCATTTTATTGTTTTTAATTTATATAAATATATTTATTTAAACTTTTATGAGAAATGGAGTCACGTGTTGCACGTGTTAGCTTTTTTTTTTTCTATTATTATTATTTTTTAAGAAAAAGTAATTCAACGATAACAACCTTATGAAATACTAGGTTAAGTTGTGTTGAGAAAGAATTTTGAAATTTTCAATTTTTATCCCTGAATTTGATTAATGAGTCAATGTTTTTCCTAAATGCAACACTAATTCAAGTTTAAGGTGTAATTGGATGTAAAAATTGATTTATTTTGTCGAGTTGATTTTTTTTTAATTTTTAGAAAATATGGATAAATGAATAAATTGACACTGCATTTTAGTTTAAAGGATCTTGAGACTATGCAAACATGGTTAAGATTAGAGGAACTCGAACGAGGTGCACCTTCATTTTTTATAAGTCAACTATAAGAACTTCAAGACTAAGCGTTTTTAATTTTGAGCAATCTTAAGTCAAGTGATCTCTTGAGAGATTTTACGTGGAAGCATTTGAGTTTGGATAAAGCATGCTGAAAGAAGTGATGTTCGTAGGATATTTTTTACTCTCGAAAACAACTCAGGTCAAGCAAACTTTTTAAATGTCCAATTTAGTCCTTTCCTTTTGAAAAAATCTTAAAAATAATCCACACATGGATGAATGAGAGAAAATGATCGATTTAGTTTTGTCGTCATCTTCTTCTTCTTCTCCATTATTTTTTGTTTCTATTCGTTCCCTATAAATGGGGAACAAGAACAATGTGGGGTTGGGAAAATTTTTAGGGAAAATTTTCTATTATTTTCTAAAATAGTGTATGATTACCTAATTGAATAATATGCCACTTATTGACCTATCCATTGGAAATGAAAGAAGTCTGGTAGTAGTATAAATTTTTCGGGCTACAATTCATAGCCCACATTTGATATTTTTCACTCATCATCCCAGTGACATACATAAATTAAAACTTGAAAAATTATAAAGGGTGGCAAAATTGGTTACCATATTTATAAATCTATCCAACAAAATTAATTTATAAATATAACAATTTTTTTTCTCGTATATCACTGACACGCCATTTTTTCTGTTATTGATACATTAGGTATGTGATGAAGTATACCCAACAATATGCAATTTTCATATTATTAATAAAACCTATGACGGGTATATCCATATAAAATATGTCACCGATATACCTGTATCATTAATATACAAGTTATTACATTTGTTACTTTTTTACCAAACATTTTGTCACATGACAAATTTCCGATTATTTAGGCAAAATCTACTATTATGGAGAAAAACTCCTTATAATAATAATAATTATTATTATTTGTTTACCTTGTAAGATAAACTTAACAACAAACTAACAGTAGAGAGTCGAGACTATTTCTAAGATTTCTTCGAGGCAAGTGCGGGCATAATTTAGACATTTAAAAAATACAAGGACCAAAAATATAACCAACAACAAAAAATTACAAGGGACTACCTCAGTTTACATATAATAATTATATATTTTTTTTACCAGCATTCAGTAACATGTTAGATTACATCAAGTCTATTTACCAAATTTATTTGGTTAAATTGATAAATGGATGAATTCTACACTTAACCAATATATAAGTTACTATACAATAAAATCAAATACTAACAAATATCTCCCTAACATTAATGCAATTATCTCATTTTCTAGCATCAAAACAATATTTGGATATCCAATTTCTCTAAAAAGCAATGGCGCAGTGAGATTTTTTTCAGAAATTATCTATATATCGATTAAGATATAGGACAAAGTAGCAATATAAACGTAACTCAATTGGTTAAAATATTATACATCTATCTAAAGGCTAGATTAAACTAAAAAAAATAAAAAATAAAATAAAATAAAGATGGGGTTAAAATCATCTCGTCATAGTAAAGACAATGAGATAATACTTCTTTTTCTTGTGGGCTTATAAAACTGAAAGATAATATGTAAGGTGGACATGGACATGAACTAAGTCTATGAAACAAAACAGCAGACCAATTGCAATAAGATTTTTCGCCAAAGCGAACATTGCTCAGCGGTAATTGACATTATATATGCGAATGACCGCTGAGCGTTGCTTGCTTTGGCTTAAGGAATAAGATTTTGCAACCACAACACAAGATAAATGACAGACTAAGCAAGGGATGGTGACAAAAAGGAAAAAAAAAGCTAAATTATAAGTTTAGTATCTAAACTTTAAGAAGTGTCTAATACGTTCACAAACTTTCAATGTTTGTCTAATAGGTTTTCAAACTTCAAAAAATATCTAATAGGTCCCAAAACTTTTAATTTTTATAAAATTTAGAGACCTATTAAACTCAAAATTGAAAATTCAAAGACCTAATAGACAACCTCAAAAGTTTAATGACTTATTAGACACTTTTTAAACTACAGAGACCTATAAGGGCACAATGGTGAAAGTTCATAACCAAATTGGTAATTTAACCTAAAAAAAAGAACAAAAAAACAAAAAACCAACTTGTCTTTCCTCTATTTACTTATTATACTTGCAGTATGAGGGCCTCATTCAGAGGTAAATGTTACATACCCAACACAAGCTTCAGGACACATCAATTACACTTTTTACCTACAAACAAAAAACCTAGGGGAACTACTCTATCACAGACATCTCTAAGTCCTTATCCATTGCAAAGCATGCGATTCAACAAATTTCAAAGATAATTAACACAGCAGTTAAGACTTAGAATCAGATACCATGGCACTTTAACAGTTAAACCCAAAATATTCACCACTATATCCCGCATGAATGTTCCTTTAAACAGACATATCAACATGACATGACAACATAACAATTAAGGTCCTATTTGATAACCGTTTTGTTTTTGGATATCTGTTTTTGAAATTTCGCTAAGAGTTCAAATGTGTTTCTAAGATAAATTTAAAACATTCCAAAGACATTGTGAGCAATCAGATATCATTTTTAAAAACAGAAAACTAAAAACGAAATGATTATCATAATGAATGAAGCAAACCCTCAAATGGAAATGATTATGAAAGAATGATAACACTAAAGGCAAATGACAAATTACCATTTGTTAAGGGATATTCACAGTGATCTCAATTATCCACAGAGAACGGACCTGGTTTGCTTCTAACCACCAGTCTCTGGTCCAGTCAGTTTTCAGTTTAGGAGACTACCACCGGTACCACGTTTCCAAGACCAGATCTCCATGGATGTTTTCTGTTGACACTTACCAAAGATAATCAAGTATGAAACCACTACATAAATGTGATAATATACAAAAATTTGCACATCTCTAATCAAGCAGAGGAGTGAGGACCACAATGGGGGGGGGGATTGAAAGAGAATAAAGTTAGGAATTAACCAATAAGAGATAACTGCCATCACAATCAGCAGCAGAAACAAATAAGAAATGCAACGCGCTAATCTGAACTAACTAACGTCCCTGAGTCTTTTAATCAAAGTGTCCAGTGACTTCTTTTTTGGATTCTGCTTCATAGTACGACTTCCGAAGGTTCCAAATAACCGATCCGAAGAATCTTTTAGCTTCTCAGATATTGTAACGACTTTCTTGTAGTCCAGACAGTAGTAACTCCTCTCCCGAATAACTGGATTCAGAAAATTCTCTGGATGACTGCTCAAAAGCAAATTAATCATTTGTCTAGCTTCAGAAAGTGCTGCCTTTAACTGATTTATATCCCCCTCCGCAAAAGTAGGAGCTTGATTATCCACAAAAGTTTCCAGCAATTTAATATCCACATCAATCCCCATTATAGCATTAACATTAAACCTCTTTACTGAATCCGCTTGTAAAGCTGCGACGATCATCATTGATATGTGAGAAAGAACATCTTGTAATACTCTTTTAAGGACTTGAACAGGCAATATCTGTTGAGCTGTGGAGACCAGTGTTTCCAAATATATGATAACCTCATTTACATATTCGTTACCATGTTGTAAAGGCTCGTCGGGTATCCAGTTAACATTCTCAATCAACATCATGAAACCATCAACCTTCGTCTTAAGCAACCCTGAGAGAGTCTCTTCTGCTGCATCACGGGCTTTGCTCAGTGGAAACTGTCTCCTACCCCTCTCAGCCATTCTCAATGGAATACCAGAAAGCTGTGCAGCATGGCGAAAAAAGAAATCACAAGCACGCTCGAACACAGCCATATTTGCTGCCACTTGCATTGCCTGAGAGACTCCATGAACAGACGTACTAATTAGCTTCAACAAGGCTCCATCCAGGACTTCACTCAATAGCCTATCCAAATACTTCTTAACTACATCATAGAAATCTAGCTGCCCACCATATGACATAAAGCTCACAGAATCTTCGATAAAAGACCTCACGATCCGACAGCAATCAGGCACTGTGGAGGAAAACGGTGCAACAAAGGGAAAACCAGGCACGATATCTGATACTTGTAACTGAAATGATAGAACATTCATAGAATATTCATACTCTTTCTTCATCAACATTTGCTCGAATTTGTCAGCTGACAATGCCTCGGTAATCTGTTTACGGCAATCTGATATCAACAGCTCATGGTACTTATCCCGATGCTTGCTCAAAACATCAAGCAAGGGTTCAACTGGATACCAATATCTACGCAAAGTTACTCCTAACAAACTCACATAGTCCTTAATTAACAAAAGATGATTTGCAGTTTGCATCCTAGAAAACTGATCTTCCAGAACAGAACACATCTTACTCATAGCAGTTTCCCATAGATTCTCAACCTCCATTTTTGATATTAGACTGCCACTGGTCCTAAAAATCCTATCCTCCACAATGAAAAATCCAGCAATTTGAGCGAAAAACGTTTGATGCGATTCAAGGAAAGGAGTCATTGATGATACCTGGAAGTCGGATGTTAATTGAAGTTTCCGATTCTCAAAGTAATACTGTTTGAATCGATCTTCAAGTCCTAATGTCTGGTGTATATGGTAGGCTCTATACAACGGAGTCAAATCAAACCCTAGAAGTCCACCACTGCCGTTGCTATACAAATCCTTCGCATCATCCCCAGCTGCACCAAGGCCGTCTTCATCCTCTTCCTCTAAAACGTATACACAGTCTCTTAAGCTAAGCCGACTCTGTTCCTCCGCTTGGCGCTGCTTGATTCGCAGATCTTCCTCACGTTGGCGAGCCGACGACGCTTGACTGATTGCCAATTGCCCCAAAGTCCGACTGACGGCTCGGATCTCTACCAGCCAATCCCCAAACTCTTTGCTCACCTTCCTCTCTATATACGAGCGAATATCAGGAATATACTTCTCCAGCATCCTCTTCAGCGTCGACGATGGCGTTTTATCCAAAAACTCGTTCTCAATCGAGTCCAAGCACTTCAAAGCCATATAGAAATTACCGCTCTCCAAGTGTTCGTTCGCTCTCGAGCAAAGCTCTATGGTGTGAACACAGGCGCGGACCGAGTCGAGCGCGAGATTTAGGTTCCGCGACACCGTCCGTGCTTCAACGAACGCATCCAAAGAAGAAAGCAGCGGAAGACCGACAGACTGAAGCTTAGAGTTGGATTCAGAGAGAGCAGATTTGAGAGAATCAACATCAGATAGAAGGGATCGGAGGTCATCAACCGCGAGAATGAAGTCCTGGTAGTGAGCCTTGCAGACCTCTTCGATCTCCGATTCTTTGGACTTGGAGAAGGCGCGTAGGTGATGGAGCAGAGTCTCCGGCTTCCCGGAAGCGAAGGCTTTCCGCACAAACGGAGCTAGATCCTCGCCGTTGCAGATCGCCGAAGAGAGAAGAAGCTGGTCGAGTTTATCAGCAGAGTCACCGGCATCAGCGGCTGCCGGAGCCACCTTCCGGCGGCTTTTAGTGGAGCTCATAGTCGGAGGGATTCCGGTGACAAGGCGGCGGTTATGGGCGTTGTAAACGGAGGGAATTTCGGGGGTGGGTGGTGGTGGATTTGGTTATTCATGAGAATATGGTAGGAAAGGGAAGATGGGGCGTGGAAAGGCAAATATATTTTATTGACGAAAATGCCACTGTGTAACAGGTATTATCTGGCTTTCACGCTGTGGGAATTTGGGGATTTAGTAAGGGTATTTTGGAGATTCGAGAAAATCATGTTGACCGGAGAGGAAAGAGGCGACGGGAATTTTGACGCGGGTAATTCCGCGGCGGCGGCACCGGTGTTTGTCTGAATACAATATTTTACCACCGGCAAATGTTCGCCGGTAAAGATAAAGAGCGGTAAATAAATAATAACAAAAAATTAGTGATGTTATTGATTTTTCTTTTGCAAATTTGGTAGGTAAATAAGTCATTACTACTTAATTTGACCATTTATTCATTATTTTATTTTACAAGAGTTTCTTTTTTTTTCATAAATAAATCTATCTTATTTGAAGGTGAAGAAAATAAAAGAAATGTATACTCTTCGTTGAGTAATATTTATCAAAAATCAACCTTTTGATTTCCATATAAGAATTTTGAAATATATGCAATGGAAAGAGTATTTTTAACCGCTACAATTAACTAGCATCAATTTTGACATAATTTGACTTGTGATTTTGTAGGATAGTCCAACCATCAATAACATATATTCTCTATCTACGGATTAAGATATTATTTATCTTTGAAAATTGAAAGTTGGAAACCGAGAATATCGTCTTGAGAAAGAGCTCTTTATTTACAAAATATACTTCCAAATTTCAATTGCCCCAAATGGTAGAACACTATATACAGTACTAATCACAAAACGTAGCCAGTGAGAGCCTTGCAAAAAAAAAAATCAAGATGCTTAACAAAAGCAAAGGCAAAAGGCCAACCAACTTGTATTGCTAATGGGGAAGGAGGCTCAATACTTCTGGATAAATTCATGAATCTGTTTGGTGACCTCCTCTGGACTTTCTTGGTTCACAAAGTGAGCAGCTCCTTCGATCACTACTATCTCTTCCAGCCCCACCACGTCGTTTTCGAATCCGCCCTTGTGAATGTACTCCTTCACCCCCGGGATGTTGTACGTGATATCCAAATCCCCCGTGATGAACTTGCTCGGTACTTCGACTTTCGACCCGCTCCACGGCGCTGTCAGCTCCCAGTTTCTGCAACAAAGAGGCTATCCTTTGTAATGATCTTTCAACAGATCTATTAGAGATCAAATAGTACAAGAGGAGTTTCATTTGATCAGCTTTTTTGTGCCCAAGGATTCCCACATTTCTGCTGATCTCGACGTTCGATTTAACCGATCAAACTCGGTATTTTCTACTCGTCAACTAGCTATGCTACACTCATGCTATTCAAAAGCTAGGGCTTTTTCCATGACTAAAAGCACTTCACTCTAAATAGTGTTTCGAAAAAAAGGCAAAAACACCCTAATATCTTTTTGAGGAAGCACCAGTACTCAAAGGACCATATAGAACCAAACATCAAAACAATTTGTTATTAAAAGTTCTTGTAATTCAAGTGAACCAACAAAGGACCTGCATAGCTATGAGAAGGAATTAGAAATTCATAGCAAGAGCAAACCAAACAATTCCCACATTTCTTTCGATCATGGCGTATGCTTTAACCGAGCAAACTCGGAAATTTTACTCATTGGTTAGCAGCTGCAATACAATCATGTTATTCAAAGGCTAAGGGAACCAACAAAGAAGATGCAGAGCAGTGAAAGGGAATGAGAAACTCATCAGGCATTATGCAAAAGTGACAAGGAATATGCCTTTCTATTTTGCAGGAGTGAAAGAAGTGAAGAACATACAGCGGGAGAGCTCGAAAGTAGTTGAATCCTCCAGTAAAGCCTTTCTTGCCGAACTTGGTAGCATAGTAACTTAAACTTTCCTGAGACAACCAGCAGGGAAGGCTGTCTGGAATTGGATACCCTCTCATTCCTACTTCTTTCGGTATAATTGGAGGAGCCGGGTCGCGAATTGAAAGGAAAATCTTAAAGATATCTTCTGTATCCATGGAATCAAAATCTTCTTCCATCTCCCCTGGTTCCTGCAGCAGCATAATATCAGCAGTAGTTTGAGAAGTTTTGTAGGTTTACACTACTAGGGGAGGGGAGGAACATCTGAACCATAGTCCCCCGTTTCTTTACTTTTTTTTCAGTTCAATAACATTCTTGGATAGGGATAGAGATTACAACATTTGTTGGAAGATATATATTTCAATCAAAAAAAATTTAATTCTTTAAAACAAAGAATGGATAATAATGGGATATTATGACCCCAATGCTTGCACCTTATCCCACTAATGTTCCCAAGGCCCAATCAAGAGACAACAATAGATTTAAATTATATAAGGAGTTGGTTGGCAGTGTCCCTAATTCTCATTTCCTATTTTTTATTATTTTCTTTTACAAATACAAACTGAGTCCGAACATAACTTAACAAATAGGATATCTATTTAATTTTTTTTAGGTGTAACGTCCAATCTTAGACCCACAAGCATTAGGTAATTATTTTCTATTTCTCATTTTTTAAAAACTTTTTCAATATTGTATATGAATTATGGAAATAATAAAATCTAGTTTTTAGTTTCTTATTTTATTTTATGTTTGGAGTTGTTCACTAACATAAATATAATCACTTTTTTATCATTTCTAACCCATAAAAGGTATAACGAATCTTAAAAATTAAACATATCCCACTAATTTTGAAAATTTTATTTTCAAAAAATTACTTTTTATGTAAAACTTAATTTTTCAAATTAAAATCTTCAAAGAAGAAGAAACAAGAAAAGATTATCCTACATAATTCTCCCTTTTTCTTTCAATAAAAAAGAACAAGGAAAAAAATGAATCAATTACAAAACATAGTTTTATTTGTTTACTAATTTTAAGTTTTAACGGAAATCAAGAAAAAGAAATAAGAAACGCCATCAAATCTTCTACCCTAAAAGAACCAAAAGAATCAGCAACCAAAGCAATCGAAACAAATTGGCAGTACTCACTTGCAGAAGATTCAAGAATTCAAAGCAGCAAGAACCATATATATATCCAAAGAACACATTATTCAAGAAAAAGCCATTGCAAGAAACTACCATTTGCTTCGATTCGATTCAAGATCATTCAAAAACAGGCAAAAGGACAACCAGAACAAAAATGGATGAAACGCACCTGAAATCTGCAAACGTAGTAACCATCCCCGAACAGATCCCTCAAGATCTCAACAGAGTTTCTCTCCGGATTCCTCGGAGGGAACGGGACGCTCAAGGCAA